CTATTAAATTAAAAAATATTTCGTTGCCAAAGTTGAAACATATTTTTTGGTTTCGAACTTTACGACGCTTGAAAGGCTTGAAAAATCGAACAAATATTATTTTGAACTTTCTTAATAAAATATGCAACTACCACAGTGCGGAAAAAATCGTCTTACTCCCGTAAGACTTTTTATTATTATTTTTTTTTTTTTTGAAGTAGAAAAAATGTGTGCGCGAATGATGGCCACTGAACTTGTGTAACTAAGATCTCTTTTATAAACTTGATTTGAAAATAATTCTGTTGCTCCTTAATTCGAGCCACAATTCATTGCTTTGATCTGCTAAATTAGAGATCGTAATTAATTATTTACAGCGGATTCTATTTTGGTAGATCTTTTTCTTCGGTGTGAAATGAAATTAATTTTGTTTCCAAACAAAAATAATAATGATTGGAATTTTTCACTTGCGTCTTATCATTTTTGGGGTAGACAAAATGTATTTGCGAATGATGACCATTGAACTTGTTTTTCAATTTTTAATCTTAACCGGAATCAAATTATTTACATCATTTTAATATGTTATTCAAACGTTGGCTATACATTTGAATGGTAAACGGAATAAATGATCATTTTATTATCAATTCACTGTGAGAGTCGTTTTATTTTCATGCAATTTGATTGGAATATTTTATTTTTCTTATAGATGAATTTTGTGATGAGATTTATAATTGTAGTCGTTTCTTTCATTTTAAGTGTTTTTGATATAAGTGTTCAGGGTAAATACAAATTTCGTCTTGAAAGGAGTTATACCAACAACATTCTTAATTTTTACCTAGATTTTTACTCTTCCGCACACAGAAGTAAAATTTCTTATCACTTTTTAAACATTTCTAAGCAATTGGCTTGCTGTAGCAAATGTGGTCAAATCTAATTGGTTGTTTTGACATAAATTTAAAAATCAGACCACTATATTGAAATTGAAGTTTTTAATCAGTATCAACTATATGTTTATTCACCATCATTTGACCTTGTGTCTTTGCTATAAATATGGAGGTTAAACGCAACAAGTAATCATTCTAATTGGAAGATACTTTCGGTAATTTCACATTTCGATTGCCGCTTTCATTATAAGAATAGTGTCCGCGATTAAATTTATTGGATTAACTTGTTAATAAATCCCACAAAGTGTTTAATCCAACCAAATAAGATGATGAAATTTTTATTTGTGATCGTTTTTCTCGTCGTCGCGAGTGTACAAGGTAATTTTATGTGAAGACAAAAAAAAATAGTGAAACTTTAATATCCCTAGTAACAAATCTGATATGAATTATGTCAACGTTTTCAATCATTTTCTCAGACAATATCAACGCTACTGATGGCAGTGAATATCTTTACAAGGCCATTAAATCAGGTTAGTTGAAGACAATGAATATTCCTTTCATTGAATCATTTCATATATTCACAACGATTTTTGATCTTTAAATTTAAATTATTTCCGTTCATTAAATCTAGGCAGAGTAGACGTAGTCACCTTTCTAATCGATAATGGTGCAAATGTGAATGAATTTGGTGAAAAAAAAGTGAATGAGTTTGAACCTTCTCCGGTCACACCACTCCAATTGGCCGTTGCTAAAAGTATTTTTCAATTGTGAATTGAATAGAAAAGTATTTATTCAGATGAATTATATATATTTTGCAGGTCAAACGGAGATAGTTAAAATTCTCATCGAACATGGAGGTGATGTAAATTATGTAAACGACAAAAACGAAACTCTACTTCATATAGCAACAATGTTCGGTAATTTGGCACAATTTTGAATTAATATTTTCTTATCTGCGCACGTCAGCTAATCAGTGTCAATTTATTAATGTTCAGATAATTTGGAAATATGCAAAATCCTAGTTGCCAATGGAATGAACGTGAATGCTGAAGACTACGAAAAGGTCATACCACTCGATATAGCCGCTGTCTATGGTATTTGCTTATATGTTCAGAAACTAGAATTGATTTTAGTTGATTTAAGCTATTAACTGTTTATCCGCTCAATATTTCAGGCTCAAACGAGATTGTTGAATATTTAATTGCACGCGGAGCGAATATAACTGCCAATGGTGAACTAATGTTAACACCTTTACATATGGCTGCCTGGAATGGTATAATTTCCAATTTTTGAATAATAAAAATGAAATTCAAATACTTTGTCTGTTTAATCAACATTTCAGGCAATTTGAACACTTGTAAAAGTCTAATTGCACATGGAGCGGACGTTAATGCAAAAAACGAAATGAATTTTACACCTTTACATTTCGTAGCTGTTCTTGGTAATTATTCATTTTTATTACTTTTCCGCACACATCTAGTGTGTAAGGGGGAAGAATTGCAATGGGTCAAAATTTACGACATCTCAAAAACATGTTTTCTGAACGTTCCTGAGGTCAGAGAACCCGAATCAAGCCGTTTTGAGCATGGTTTATGTTAATCTGTACGTCGTACGTCGTACGCAAAATTTGTTAGCAAGATTGCGCTCATCGTAGAAACTTAATTCAAAATCTGACTTTACGGGATGATTGGGGGTCCCGAGGAATAGAAATCATTAGATTTTGAGCGAATTTGGTTGATGGAAAAAAATGTCATGCCTGGAGTGATACCTATGAAAAAGAGTCCAATTTTCGTCCAAAAGTCATACTTAATGTAGACTTAAACACTCATAAATATGTATTGGGGGGTTTTTTGGCACGAGAAAACCGAATATGATGTTAGTTTTGAGATACAGTCAATTTTTAATACAGTTTCCTTGAAAAAATCACAAAAAAAATGAATTTTTGTATGGGATCCATGCCTATATGCTACCTTACATTCTGAAAGTTTGAAGAGTTTTCAATCAAAATTAGGGGTACCTGTCATACGGAATATTCAATTTTTGGCTCAAAAACGAATATTTTGTATGGGAGGTACTCTTCATTTTGGTTGAAATTTCTCCAAACCCTCCGAATGTTATTTTTTTGTGAAAAAAATACCCTGTGCAAAGTTTAACGCCATTAGGTAGAATACAGACATGGCTCCCATACAAAAATCCAAATTTTTTGTGACTTTTGTTATGAAAAGTGTTTCAAAAATAATTTCTATGGTAAAATTAACGTCAGACATATTTTTTATTATATTGTTATGTTAGGGAATAGAATACTTTCAAATGTCATACATATGAGTTCATCATGAAAGTGTGAAAAATCTTCTGCTATTAAATTAAAGAATATTTCGATGCCAAGGTTTGAACATATTTTTTGGTCTCGAACTTTACGCCGCTTGAAAGGCTTGAAAATTCGAACAAATATTATTTTGAACTTGCTTAATGAAATACGCAACTACCACCGTATGGAAAAGTTCGTCTTACTCCCGTAAGACTCTTTATTTTTAAATAATTAATATTATGATCAATGCGGCAAAGTATTAAAATCATTTGATTAATGTTTCAGGTACAAAGGAATTAGCTGAATATCTGATTACAGAAGGAGCTAATGTCAATGCTACAGGTGAAGGTATGATGACGCCTCTGCATTCTGCTTACTTTTTTGGTAATTAAAAACATTTCAAAATAAACATTGAGAATTTCCAATATAGAATTTCTTTTCACTGTTTAGGCAATAAAGAAGTGCAAGAGGTCTTGATTGCTAATAAAGCAGATGAAAATGCAAAAGACGAAAATAATAAAATACCACGTGAAATGGATAATGGTAATGTTTTATTTTAAATTATTATTTGATAGAGACATTTTTTAATCGAAACTGTTTCATTTAATATTCTAGAGAAAGGAAAAAAGGAGAAACTCCAAATTATTGCTACAATAAATTCGAAGAAGAGAATGTTCGAAAGCTTATAGTAGATGTAAAGTCACTTTCATCTCAAAGGCAGATACTAGAATAATCAAGCTTAAACCGATTTTATTATTCACTTTTCAGGCAACGAAGAACTTATTGATTGATCATGGCGCTGATGTGAATGAATGCTAAAAACATTGATGATAAGATACCGAGTGAAATAAGTATTCTTATATAAAAATAAATAAAGAGACATTATTAATTTTAATTAATTAATAATACACATTCTTTCAGCGTTCAAATTGAAAGAATATCATTTTAAGGCATTTTTCTCATAAGTGCCTCTTCACAGTCTAAGTTTTACACCGATCAATAAATGTCGTTGAAAATTTGACCAGATCTCTTCCTTGTAATGCCCAATCATCCCGTAAAGTCAGATTTTGAATTTCATGTCTGAGCACGAAACCATCGTGTCACCAAAATGGTTGAAAAATTGTTAAAAAATGTATGCATAATGTGGGTACTCCATTCGGACCAAAAAAAATTACACCGGTCAACAGATATTGCTCAAAAACTAATCAGCACGTCTCCTAGTAGTCCCAAATCATCCTGCAAAGTCAGAATTTGAATTGAGTTTTTGGAAGAAGACTTATCGCGGTAACAAATTTTGGCAACACGCCACAGGACACAGGACACAGGACACAGGTCACAGGACACAGGACACATCACACACAGCGACGCACATTAATATGCCCCAAAATCATCTCCAATCGTGTTTTCTACATTAAATATGCATAGAAAACATGTTTTGGGTGACTTTAATTTTTTGGCCTAATACAATACCTTTCCTACACTAGGTGTGCGGAAAAGTAAAATCCTAATTTTGTTGTGTAGATAAAGACTCCGATTTACCGCCAAATTTTTAACTTCTCTGCCATATTTATTATGAATCTTAACATGCAAATATATAAATAAATAAAGAGCCATAATCTTCGAAAAGAAATGGAATAATTGTCTTTTGTTATTTTTTTAAAAATAAATGTGTTCTAAATAAAAGTTCAAAGGATTAAAAGTTTTAATTAAAATATGACTACAAACGTATATGCTGTTAAATAATAACTAAAATCTCTTTTATATATATGATTTTTAACTAATCATGTTCCTCTTTGATTCGAGCCACAATTCATTGCTTTGATCTGGTAAATTAGAGATCGGAATTAATTATTTACAGCGGATTGTATTTTCGTAGATCTTTCTTTTTCGGTGTGAAAAAGAATTAATTTTGTGTTCCATCAAAAATAATATTGATTGGAATGTTTCGCTTGCGTCTTATCATTTTTGGGGTAGAAAAAATGTATTTGCGAATGATGACCATTGAACTTGTTTTTCATTTTTCAATCATAACCGACACCAGATTATTTACATCCTTTTACTTTTCCGCACACACCCAGTGTGTAAGGGGAAAGTATTGCAATGGATCAAAATTTACGACATCTCAAAAACATGTTTTCTGGACGTTTTCGAGCCCAGAGAACCCGAATCAAGCCGTTTTGAGCATGTTTGTTGTGGGTTCGTTCCACGTGGTACGTCGTACGTTGTCCGCCGTACGCAAAATTTATCCATCGATTATCTCACCCCCCAGAAAAGTTATTTAAAATCTGACTGTACAGGATGATACGCGAAATCGCGATGAATAGAAATCATTAGATTTTGAGCGACTTTGGTTGATGGACAAAAATTTCTAAGAAAACTAAGGTACTACCAGTACGAGTACACAGCACATGTTCAATATCTTTCGAAAAACAAATATTCGTTATCGGTAATTTGGAAACACTGCGGAAAAGTTAGACTTACGAATGCTCTAGTATAAAAATTTAAAAAATTCGATGCAGAACCAATTTTTTTGAGAATGAGTCAAAATATGTGATATCGCTTGAGGAGTTTAAAAAATCCAATAATTTTTTTGTGAAATATTCGTCTTACTCTTTATTCATCCATAGATTTTATTTCTCATTATTTATCCATTACTAATTAATCGATGTTGTAATTAATAAATCGATGTCGTTCAATTGGTATTTGGTTCGATATAGTGAACTTGTCCATTCTCTAATTTAATTTGTCCTTTTTTCATAAGGCGATTAACGTCCGATTGGCGCATGCATACCATCAAAATGATGTCATCCGTCGATGTTGACGGCATTTCTTTGACTAATGGCATTGCTTGTGGTTTCTTCATATTTTTCTGGCCGGTAAATTGTAAATTCGTTGGCAATAATGTTGAATTTGTTTGCAACATTTTCTTTGGCTCTAAAATTGAATGGTTCATATAACATTTAGTAAAAAAATTCTGGTGAAAAAATATTATCGAATAAAAGAAAATATTCATGAGATTTTGTTACTTACTGCTTGCCAAGTTTAAATTCTGTAATTCATTGACCGCTTTTTCGATGCGTAAACAAGTGTTTGATGCTTCTATGGTATTTTTTTCAATTTCTGTAATTTCTCCTACAGAGACATCTGGTGATAGCTCTGAGAATGTGTAAGCTGTTGACGTTTTGATCACAGGTTCGAGTAAAGTCTCCTCTACTGTTTCATCCAAATTAATTATTTCGGTCGATTCTAATGGTTGAACACCATTGTTGCCAAATGTTATGTCTTCAATCAAACTATCATCATCAGATAATATTTCGATGACCGTTGTATCGATATCTCCAACATCGCTTTTTTCGGCCACATCCAAATGATTATTATCATTTTGTGCCTTTAATGTGCGCACATCCATAAATATGATATCATCTGACGCAAACATACTGGATGACCATTTTTCGGTTGTGTTGATGTTCATACATCGACTCTGTTGTTGGGAGGTATTCGACACATTTTTCTCTGGCACCATAGAAGGTGTGGCGTATGAACGTTCACTTGAATTGCCCGCTGAAAACGTACCAGATGGACATTTTTCAACCGCTTGCATCGTGCTGGTATTTTTAACCGGTTGTTTCGGTACTCTGGGTTGTTTAAAGACAAATGAATGACTCTTGTCTTGCAATGATGGCTGCTGAATTGTATTAGCCGAAACAAATGTACCGGATGAACCGTGGTTTGTATTCCGATTCGGGCGATTTTTATACTTTCTTGTCCAGGGACCCATGCGTATATTTCGGATCCATGCTGTTTTTGGATCTATGTAATTCTGTTGACTTTTCAACTCGAATTTTGAAGGAGCTTTCATTTTTTGCGATTTTACAAAAATATTGAGTTAAAAAAAAGTTGTTGTCGAACAGTAAATATGGCGCACGAAAAAATTGGTGGAAAACAGCAAAAATTTGATTTTATCTGATCTGGCTATGGAATGAAATAATTTCAGAATTCGTTTCACTAAAATTGACACCGTAAACACAAAAAAATATGCGAAAAATAGAACTTTAGAGTTTTGATTTAAAATTAAGTTTTTTTTTGCTGAAAAATCTAAACTGAAATCAAACTGAACTTGGAGAAAATGTTCAAAAATTCGTTAACACTGTTTATCGTGAGAATTTAACGTAAGACGTATTGCTTCTTTGCAAAATATAAATAGAATGAAAAGATCTACAAAAATCGTCCCTTTTTATTCACAGTGTCGGTACTGCTTTCACAGCTTATATGTTTTCATCATTTTTTTGCAGTATGCATTTGTGAATGCCTTTTTTGGACACATATGACTCTTGTATTTTCAATGTGTGCGTCGCACATAGTGCGTTGGAAAGGAAACTGTGTGCGCGCACTACTATGAGAAATTAACAGCTATGGTCATCAAGTCGAGTAGGCTATACAAAACTACAAAATTATGTGAATTACACAGAATAAACTAACTAAATTTTGTAGCATATTTACAATTTAATTATATTTTATATTCGAAGAAAGGAGACTGTATCTCGGTAGGCTCTAGCGAAATAAGTTATTTCAAATAACACACTAATACACAGAAGCACACTGACTCTGGCTCTGTGTGTATGTGAGTGCAGAATTTTGCAAAAGCCTAAAAATATCTACAATTCTACATATCGTTGGATTCTACTCTTAATTACCTTTCTAATGATGAAAAACATCAAAACATTATATATTTTTTTTATTCGATAGAAAATTACTTTTCAAAATGATGATGAAAATTTCGGTTTTCCCTTGATCATATCACCAAAAGCATTTCAGAAAATCCATGGATTTGATGATACATTCTTAACTGTAAAATCAATAGAATGTAGAATCCAATATCTTTCCAACGGTGTATCAAAAGTCACCACCCTGTTTGCCGATTTATCTGTGGTAGAACTTTTCATAAATTAAAAAAAAATTCGACTTCTTCACATTCGTGACACCAAATTCGATTCTGAAAAATTAACTTGGCAAACTTTTCCATTCGAATCTACTCATAAATACCGTTCTAATGGTGTATCAAACACCATGATGATATTCATTGAAAAATAAAGAAAAAATCATGATAAAAATACGAAAAAAACCACAGTAAGCTCTTTATTTAAATATATTCAAACTTGTCATTTATTTTTCTCATTACGTATTATGTTGCCTGATTTCATGGGTAATCGATGGGTTAAACCGGCTTATACCAAGATTAATGGGGAGGAGCTTGAAAAAGCCGTACAGAAAATTTCGTCTTATTTGTGGCTTGCCAGATCCAAAGTCTTCTTAAGATGCATTTGTGGATGATGACGGTGACGTTTGTTACTTTGGTTCTGATGCCATGACATCGTAAGCAATTTGCTGCTTTTTTTTATATTTTAAATGACTGTAATAGAAATGTATATATTGAATAAAGCGTAAAAACATAATTACGTATTAAAATTTGACGTATTTGAATCGTTGGCTTTTTTAAGTAGACGTTAAAATCAAATAAATAAATAAATAAAATACTCACTGATATGCGGATGTTAGAACTTTTTTGATGTGCTTTTGAAACTCATCCCTGGAATATTCGTTATGAGTGTTCACAACCACTCTATAAATAACGTCCAGAATATTTTTGTAGTTCTGAAGCGATATTTTAGATTGAAGTTTCGACCATGATCTTCCAGTCCACGTGAAATTCAATAGAAATATGCGATTAATTACCACCCGCACCAACTCTTTCACCATTATGGCGGGATCCAAAAGTTGATTCCAACCGTAAACATCAGCCTTTTTACTAAGAATTTTAATCTGTCAATGGAAAAATGATTAAAATTATGTCAAAATATTTAAAGATATTGAATCTTACCGTAGCATTTTTAAATTTGGAATCTTCCAATTTTTCGTTGAATTGATCGCATTTGGTTTGCGTATTGCATGGTAAACTATTCGAAAAAATAAATAAATCCATTTCATCCAATTTTTTTTGAGCATCTTCTTCCGCATCTCTCAACCCATCCGTCAGCCAATTTATTATTTTGGTCGATTTTAATGGTTGAAAACCTGTGTTATTAATCATTTTGTCACCATCATATGATAGTTCCATGGCCGTTGCATGGGTAGTTTCAACAACATGGGTTTCTTGATGCACATTCGAGTGACTCTTATCTTGTACCATTGAGGTACGCAGGTCCATAGCGTCTGATGATGCACACATACAAGACGAACAATTTTCTGTTGTGGTAGTATTCATTAGGTGTTGGATGACAATTGAAAGTCTATCTTCTTGCACCGTGAATGATTCATTATCTCTCTCGTATGATGAAAGCTTAGTTGTCTCGGACACCACAAACGTACTAGATAAATGTTTATACACTGGTTGCCTCGTGGTTATATTTTTAAGCGACTCTTTCGGTATTTGAAAGACACTCGAATTATCCGTGTCTTGTACCGTTGATGTCTGTGGGTTGCTGTAAATTGATATAAATGGAGATCCATTTTCTGTCGATGACGATACAGTATTATTATGCATTGTCGGTTCAAATTTTACTGCATGATGTGTGTTCTGGAGACAATTCTTTGGGTACTTTCTTGTAGTGCCCGAGCCCATATTTCGGATCCATGACTTCGTCGGATCCATAATTTTATGTTGGTTCTTTTGTATTTTTGATGATACGTTTTTATTTGTTTCGTTCACTACAGACGAAGGTACAAAAGAATGACCCTTGTCTTGAACCAATTGCTTCTGATTCGTGTCAACAGGTAAGAATCTACTGGACCAATATTTTTCCGTCGATGGTCTCACGGTATTAGATTGCATATGGTGTTCCATTCTTCCGATATTCTTCGCAACGAATCCTTCCCAACTAACTTTGTGGCGATTGTGGTGTGGTTTAAACTTTCTCGCGGTGCCCGGACCCATATTTTGGATCCATGCTTTCCTTGGATCCATGTAACCACTTTAATTTTATCCAATTTTCCAATGAAATTCAATCGGTTTGCTTTCAAAGACTGTCGTGTCACACGATACGCGGAAAGTCCTTCTACCTTAACTTCAAAGCTTTTGAAATAGAAACGAATTTAAACGATGAGGAATTACGAAAAAATATTTTAAACAACAATTTTGACTAAAGAATATGATTTTTGTTTGAGAAATACGATAAATTTTTGATTGAACATGAATTTGAAACAAAAAGAGTATTTAAAACACCGTTTATCTTAAGAATTTAGCTGGAAGTCTATTCTTCGAAAAACACAAGTGGAATGAAGATGAAAAGTCGCCTTTCGAGGAAAAAACATGCTTTTTATTCACGGTGTCCCTTGTATTGCCCGATAGGTGTGTAACCATATAAATGTTCGAAGCAAGGGTATGAAATAGGCGTAGCCATTTTTGATCATTTTTGAGAAAGTATTTTTTCCGATGCCATAAATTAGAGTTTTCGTTGCCATAATTTGACATTTTTGTGTGGATTTTCATTCAAAAATGCAAATTATGGATGTAGATACATTGCGGTACCACACATCATCTTCAAATTTTATTGTTTCCCCGCAATGTATCTGCATCCATAATTTGCATTTTTGAATGAAAATCAACAAAAAATTTCAAATTAGGGCAACGAACAAACATGATCAAAAATGGCCAAGCCTTGTATGAAATGTTCAGAAAACAAAACTTAATTAGCAATATTAAGTTATGCAAGCAACAATTTTGTAAGCAAAATTATGGCAAAAATACGAGTACACGACCCTATTAAAAAACAAAATGCACCGAACATTTGATCATAAAGTGAGAATGTTGATGCTATTTATGAAGTATATGGGAAAAATCCAGTTAACTTTAATCAAAATCGATTAAAGATTTCGTTTGATTTGTTGTCAAAAAAAACTGAATAACAATATTAGATTTTGAAAACAACATTTCGAGCATTAAGTTTAGAGAATTTGAGCAAACAAGTTGTGAACTACTCCAAAGGCCAGATCAAAATAAAAAAAATTCAAAGTATACCAGTAAATACCAATAATGAGACGACAATACGGAAAAAAGTCGGGAACGAGAAAAAGCAACGTAAAAACGCAAGTATGACGCACAGATTATTTGCTTCAAAAAAAGTTCTCATCAAGAGAAAATTTCTTAAACCTTTGATTCGTTACCAAAAATAGATTTAAGAATGAAACTAATTTAAAAATCTAGTTGTCGTGTCACTTGAATTTTTGATAAAGTAAACCAACGATTAGTTTTTTTGTCCAAACAGGGACGGAATCACCTCGGACGACCTGCGAAAATGAAGGCAATTGATAAAATTGTAAATATTTTCCTACATTTATTTCGAACATTCCATTTAACAATCTTTCGTTTATTTGATGAAAACATTGTATAGGCTGAATATTACCGTGAATATTATCAAGATGAAATCAGAGAGGTTTGATTTGTGAAAATTTCAATTAACACAATGAAAAAATGAAAAAAAACCTCTGTATTTTAGGAAAATATTGCCAAATCTAAATTAAACGGCACATCTGTTGCAACGGCTGATTCACAACATTTCGACAATATGGATCCAAAAACATTACGTAAGAAAACAAATTCAAGAAATATTTCCCCGAAGCAGAAACATTCAAAGAGATCAAGATTCTGACGGGTCACCAAGTGAATCAAATTCATCTAATCGTTATCGTATATATTAAACTAATGGAAATGAGATGGTAAAATATGGACTCAGGATTTAAATATCTATTGTAACTGAGATTAAATTGATCGATATTTATGAATGTGTAATGGGATTTAAAAAAAAAAAATCGGAAAATATTGTTTCACTTAACTATTAAGAGGTTGCATGGTGAGTCAGACAATGTTTGTTAAATGTTTTTTCACTTTTAACATTTTCTGTCTCTTTATAAAATCCTTTTCTTCTATTTCAATTCTCTTTCTCGCTTTAACTTTGTCGCCCTACTTTTAAAACACCACCATAAAATATAATGACCTTTTCTTGTCTGCTTCGATGCACTTATAAACCTAACAGGTAAATGTGACATCTCTTCAATACTTCTGTTTGCTACACTCAACAAAGAGACATTCTTGCTTAATTTAACATCTGACTTTCACCAGTTCAGTGCAATATTTTTCATTTTTAACGTAAAATTTTCGGTATTTGTTCAAAAATTACTCTTTTTCTCAGTCTCAATTTGAAAAATTCAATTTCGGCACTAAAAATGGTGTCGATCAATGTTCCAATTTTATTGCTTAGTTCTTTTGTATTTTCTGCTGTTTCGTCAAGTAAGCATTTTTCGATGTTTTTTTGTCCAAAATTCAAATCAATTCGATTTCAAACTTTCAGATCCCGTTTCCAACGATAGCGCACTTATTCAGTAAGTTATTAATTCATTAGTCATCAATTCATGTATGTTTTTACACTTTTTTTCGTTCTTCCTTGATGTGGTGCAGTCGCCAACGACGCTGTCTTTACTTCTGTCATTTTCGCCGCATTCATCATGTAACGAAGTTAAGGTGAGAATTTGAGAATTTTGGAAAATCTTTTTGATGATTTTTAATCGAATAATGAATTTCCGCGTTGTTTTCCTTAAAAGCAGTCTCGACGAAGATTTATTCGATGCGGCAGCCGAAGGTAAGCTTTATTTTAAATTACTAGATTTTTTTTTGAAAATGGTGTTCTTTTGTTAGGTTCAGAAATCAGAATATGGAAATACATTCGACGAGGAGCCAATGTTAATTATGTAAACGCAAATAACGAAAGTCCATTAATCGCCGCTGCGCACAGTGGTAAAGAAATTTATTAAAATTAAAAGTGGTAAAACATTGAATGAATAACCATGATTTCTCTCAGGTGACGTAGATGCTGTGGATCTATTGATATCGAATGGAGCGAATGTTAATCATAGAAACGCTAACGGTGACACCAGTTTAACGACTGCAGTATATTTTGGTAATTTCAATCTTATTGAAGGAAAACTGAAAATCGAAAACCATTAAAAATTGAAATTTACACTTTTTAGGCCATAGACGAGTCGTTGAAACATTGTTAAAAAACGGTGCAATTGTTAACTGTCAAAATTTTCATGGTGAAACCGGTCTTCATTTGGCTGCAAGGAGAGGTAATCATTATATTGAATAAAGTTCAGATGCAAAATATGCATTTGGCCCCTCTTTCATTGTGCCCAGAATGAAAAGTTAACGATAAGAAACTAAAGACTGTAAAAAAACGTTTTTTAGGTAACAGAAAAATTGCCGATTTGTTACGAACGTATGGTGCCAATATAAATGTTCGTAACCACGAGGGAAAAACGCCGTTGGAAGTAGCTGTGGAAAATGGTAATTATGTCTTCTTTTTTTTCTTCTTTTTGTTTTCTTTCTAAACATTTGCTGCTGTTATTACTCTCCTTCCTTTTATTGTATTGTCTATTATTAATTTTTTGTCGTTCTTTCTATTCCTTCCACTTTCTTTTTCATCTTCTTCATTATCACCTTCTTCATCTATTCATCATGCACTTTTCGTTGTGTAACGGCATGTATTTTCAATGTATTTGTATGATTTTCAGGTCAAAGAAAGGTCATTGAAGTTTTAAATAGATTTGGTGATGAAATTCACGATGAATCGTCTGTTAATGAAATTAACTCAACCGCCGTTCCAACAGAATCTCCAGTCATTGTACCTGCTCCGCATGAAGCCTTAAAAAATGGTAACTTCAACAAAAATCAAGATAAAAAAAAAAACACTTACGTTTCATTTTTTTATAGCTTGCGATTCATATGTGAAATTTGCACAACGTATACCGATTTTGGAACCTCGCATTTTGGGTGGTGAAGAAGCGAAAGCCGACGAATTCCCATGGATGGTAACTATATTCAATATATAAAATTTCAAGTGCCTGAAAGAGCAGCACAACCTATAATAGCTCTGATCATCAATCAAAACTGCTATCACATCATGTGCATATTTCTTTTGTAAAACAGGCTGCATTGGGTCATTTGAACTCAAAACTCAAGGTCGAATTCAATTGTGGTGGCACGCTTATCTCGGACAGATTTGTGTTGACAGCAGCACATTGCGTGAAAGCGTCATTGAAACTGGTGTTGGTTCGATTTGGAAAGGTGAGTAAAATACAAAATAATTTAAAAATGGCCAGAAATTTGATGGAAAAACTGCTTTAAAACAGTTAAAACTGACTGAAGACGATGGACTTGAGGCTGTCGATCGACTTATTGAGGTAAATAATAAATTTCAAATGTCGATCAACTTATTGAGGTAAATAATTTGAAAAACATTTTCAAATATTTGAAATGCATCTTTTATTAAGGAGGTGATATCACATCCCGATTATTCACCACGAACCAAATCATCTGACCTGGCGTTGATTCGTGTGGAGAAAATTGACTTCACCAGACACGTAATTCCGGCATGTTTACAAACCGACACACATGACATGCATCCGGATGTCAAACTGTTTGTGACCGGCTGGGGTACAACATCTTCAATACGTAAGTGTTTCAACAAATTAATTGAATTGGAATCAGTCTTTTTAATCTTTTTACTTAATTTTCAAAGGAACCAAAAAGGCGTCAACTCTACTGAAAACGCAATTAATGTCAATGCCCCTCTCCGAATGCAGCACCATGATTATGAATCATAATCAACGGCCAATTTATTCGAGCTTTAAGAACCTTACGGTCGGTCATTATTGTGCGTTTGATCCAAGTGCCCGAAATGATAGTTGCCAGGGTGACAGCGGGGGGCCACTTCAGGTCTTTCCATCAAATTCAACCATATCAACGGTTGTGGGCATCGTGTCATTTGGCATTAGTTGTGGCACAGCACTACCGGGCGTTTATACAAGAGTCTCTCACTATTTAGAGTGGATCGAGTCATATGTTTGGTTAAATGCATAACTTTCATTGAAATATTGTTAGTTTTTATATTTTTTTGGACGTAATAAAGGCGATTTAAATTTTTAAATGACAGTATTGTCAATGGAACAGTTCATTCTCCTCTTTCCAGTGTATTAATTTCCCCTTTTAATAATAATTCCAGTGATTGGAATAGAATGACAGATGAAATGTCAAAATCAACATCACTTATGTCAACGTAAAAACTAAATTTTGTTATTATAGAATCAATTGGATGTTTTTTTTTTGCTTTGTCGGAGAGATTATAGGTGGAAAAAGATATTTTTGGCATGCAAATAATACCAGAGTGAGTAAACGAATTTAATTGGAATAAATTCGGTGACAATAATCACCAGTTTCATTTCTCCAGTATTGGAATTTCAGTATACAAACAAGTCGTTTTAAACGAAAAGTCTTCTTTTATCCAGCTATTGCATTTTGCCGGTCGTATTAGTTGGTAACTGACCTTATTCTACTTAAGAAAAAGCTACTTCTACCGAAATTCAACTAAAAAAGAACCATGGAGAAAACAATTGTTTATGCAGAGCTAGGGGTGAAATTGGAACTGGCATTCTTTTATGAAGAAGCGCTAATTAATTTTAATTTGGAGTCAACAGGAGAATGAAAATCATATCACCATTTGAAATTTGGTACAAAATCATCAACAATGAGGAAAATAGGTATGGATATTTTTTATTTTCGAAACGCTGGAAATCAGTTTGAATGCTGCTATAACATAAGAGATAGGTCGAAAAATGTAAAGTAAGCGTTGTAATATATATTTTGCTTGAAATTTTTTATTTAAAATTGAAATAAGATTTTCTAATAGGATTTATTTTTTTTTTTTTGAACAGGAAGCAGTGATTCGTTAATTGCTATTGCCACTAAGACTTACTTAGAGTAATGTGCTAGCCAGAATTTGCTGGCTAGCAGTGCTAGTGCGATACGCTCGACGCATGAGAGACGCGTGTCTATGTGAAAGAAGCATTCTATATGAAGCACTATGTACGCTCGTATTTCAATTTATTTTATCCGCTGTACTTCTGTTATGTTCATGATTTTTTTTAAATGATTTTACTTTCAATTCCAAGATTTATTTTTATTGCTGTTTTCATTTTAAAAAAAATCATGAACATAACAGAAGTACAGCAGATAAAATAAATCGAAATACGAGCGTACATAGCGCTTCATATAGAATGCTTCTTTCACATAGACACGCGTCTTCCATGCGTCGAGCGTATCGCACTAGCACTGCTAGCCAGCAAATGCTGGCTAGCACATTACTCTAAGTAAGTCTTAGTGTCAATAGCAATTAACGAATCACTGACAGGAAGAAGTAATGGAAATTACCGAGATCAAAGGTCATTAAATAGAAAAATTCAAGGTTTTATATGCCATATTCCATATGTTTAAAGACTTCTTTTCATCTGCTCATGGTTCTCATTTGCAGAGTCACCGTCTGGGCACAAATTATCTATGAGTTCTCTACAAATACGCTTGATTGAAGTACATTCGTCATCAAAAAATGAAGAAAACGGACAACAAAATAGAAGAGATTTTATCGCAGTTATCGAATCCTAGTCGATCGTTTGAATTAATTCAAAAATTCATGCGACGAATGGATCGCTGATAATTTATGGAAGGAATTTCGGAGCCAAATCATATGTAGAAAATTGAAGCTGTGATTTAGTGTCAACCAAATCGAATGATAAGCAATTTTTATTTTTTTTAATGGAATTTTATTGTTCTTATTTTTCCACACACCTAGTGTGAGAAAGGTATTTTTTATATCAATTTCAAAATATAATTTAATAAAAACTGATTTGAAATGGATCATGGAATTTTAATTGTATAAAAAGTGAATATTTCGCGTCATTCAAAGACGATCAATTCATTAAAGCGAATAAAACAACATTTGACAGTTGAAAGCTTCAAACCAGAATGTAAAAATGTTTATTTATTGCAATGTATCGCGGGCAATATGAATGTCAAGCAGTCAAAGCAGGCAACCCTGCACAGAACGCGTCAACTTCACCCCGAACGGCTGTCAAATCGGATCGCTTTTGTTATCTTGCATACGTACATTTAGATTTTCACAATAAAAATCCATTTTTCGTCATTTTTCATATTTCCAGGAAAAACCAATTTGAAAATATTTTTTTTGCTGCTGAGGAAATGACACGAAAGTATAATCATCAATTTTTGAAAAAAATCTCCTTCATAACTAATATGTATTTGTCTTGAGGGCGTATTTGCTAGCATTAATGAAGTGTTAAACGGACATTGTAGCATCGGTCATTTTTTTTCTTTCTATTTATTTAAAAATAATTAAATAATATATTTATCGAAAATGGTTCAAGCAATAATTGGTTTTAGGCCCATTTCCTTTGAGTAACTTTATTTCAAGAACAAAATTAAGTTTTTTTTTAAGATCGTATGTAAATTGTTCAAACTTATGATTGCCGAAATGTGAATAATTAAAATGAGTTCATAATGAAGTAGATACGAAAAGAAAAGAAGTCTCTCAATTAAAATCAACAAATTTCCTTTTAAGTCGATTCGAGCCTGAAATGACTCATATTTTTGTTATTAACATGAACAAGAACTATGGAATTAACCACAACAAACATTTGACCAAAACCAACGTTTTTTTTCTTCAAGGCTTTTCTTTACATGGAATTCCACTCTTTCTATTTTTCTTTTTTTATTCATAATCAATAAAACAGTAGAATGACATTATTCCATTGAAGATGTAGTATGTTTGTTCTTCACACCAGTTTTTTCCAAAAAAATATTCTCTGAACCAAATTCGCATGAACATTAATTTAATCAATAAATTGATAATATTGGCTAAATAATCAGAATTATATCTCAAAGAAACGATAAGATTACTGCCTAAAATGATAAAAAAATAAAATTCACGTATAGTTGGCGCTACATTCTATGTAATAAGCGTATACTTTCAACGGAAAACAAGTTTGCATAGAATGCAGCGCCAACTATATCTATTGAAAATATCGAGAGGAGAATATGTTTTTATTCAGACATTACTCAGCCATAAGCGCTGAATAACATACTCTCTTCTCGATATATTCAATAGATATGTGAATTTTATTTCTTATCGTTTTAGGCGGTTTTAGGAAATAAATCTATGGTTTCCTTATGACTTCTTTCATCGCGGAATAGCTTGTTTACTTTTTTACCTTTTTTGTTGACGAAATTTTCGAAAAAAATTCCAGTTTTGCTCCAATTCAACAATTTTACCTATCTAAAGCTATAGCTGAAGACAACAATGCAATTCAGTATGTGATCAGATAGTGAAATAAAAAATAACAAGTTCATAGAAATATTCAAATCGCATTGAATGGCTTCTTGAATGTGAGCATTAAAAAACAAACTGGAAAAATCGTTAAAATTTTAAAAAATAGTCAAGATGTTTGAAAAGATCCCGGATCCTCCTTCATTTTTCTTCGTTCCATAATAATCACAATGAGTGATCTTCCATTTATTGCTATTTCCATAGTTCTATTTTTACAACTTTCAATTCATCAAAAAAAAAACTATTCACTAACATCTGATTTTAAAATATTAATATTTGCCAAAAAAAATCAATAATAACGAATTTCAGTTCGAATTCAATTTTGTTTTGCAAATTCAATGTTTTTTTCTTCAGAATAAAGATGAGTAATGCAAAAAAAGTGCCAACCCTGAACATCACGTAATTTCAACTTCATATCACTTTTCATGTGTCATACAAATATAGATACATTTGTGTGAACTGTCAACACGTGAGGAACTGAAATTCCTTTGTCAAGTGCTGAATTTCGCAAAAATAAAGAAAAAAAAATTTGAAAAAATTCGATGAAAAAATAAGCATTACGTGTGATTAAAAAAAAAAAGGAAAATACAATGAATATTGATCAAGAGCCGGAGGCGGATTTAGAGTTTTGTTATTATTCCGGTTCAGAGTCTGAAGTCGATGACTCACCAACAGTGATGAGTAACACAAGCACAATTCAGGACGAACAACATGAAATTGCGCAACATAGCGTCGAATCGTCAATCGAAAATGCTACGGAAGTTGGTGAAACACTGCACAATTTCACCGAAGACAATGCACACATTGAAGCGGATGTGATTATGATATCGTCAGACGAGGAAGATGATGATCGGGCAACAATGACGAGAAAATCGATCGAACCAAAGCAAGACGACGCCAGTATTATGACGACTTTACAAACAGATAGACAATCAGTACTCTATAAATTTCAGCCTGCGCCTTTGATTTTTGTGTCGACAGATGAAGAAGAGGAGGAGGAAGAAGAAATCACTGTAAAGAGTGAACCAGTCGAAGATATTCCGAAAAAAAATGTGGAAATTTCGGACGGATCGATTAGGAATATTTTGCTGCGAGATGGTCATCAGAAGAGAGCATTGCTTCACATGCGAAGAATAAAGAAGAAAATCAAGAAATTGGCCAAAAAGAAAGCAACACAAAAGACAATCAAACCGATCGAAGAAAAACAGTGCCAAATTATCGAAAATGAACCACAGCAAATTGCCGAAACTGAGCCAGACACACAGCAGCCGGATGATCAATCACAAGAACATATTGAAAATGAAAAAGCTAAAGTCAAACCGATTGTATCAACTCCAATACGGAAAAGTCAACGGCAAATTAGGTACGTTTTTTACTGTTAATTTTTGTTCAAATTCGTATTTGCTGCGGAAATATGTAGATCCATTCAAATAAAGTAGGCTGTGAATGATTGACGGTATATTTGATTGCCATTTTTGTTGTTTCAAGAGTCATAGATAGATTTTATCATAGTAGACTGTTTGTGCCACAAATTGATTTGATTGTACTGTTTAACCAAGCCGAACCAAGCACGGTTTAAGATATCGTATAGTAATTCACGACCCGATTTATTTTTCATGATTTTCTCCCACCAAATTCAATATCTTCATGAATCTCATATCGTTCATTTAATAAATCATCGCTCAATGTCAATAATGTCACTGCAATATTGGTGCTTTTCAATGCTTGCTTAGTGCTTTCAATGAAGTATGATTTTTTGTATATACATTCAGCTATTTTTGGTTGAGACGAACGATGCAATGCGATAATAAACAAGACAAACAGTCTACATTGGCTCTAATAGCACACTTTTGTTGAATTCATGATTTGAAAGTACTTTTTTCACTTTATGACTCAGAACCAAATTGAGCAAAGAGTTGAACTGCACTGTATCAAATTATATATGACAGGTTGATTTTCTTTATGTACAAGCACCGGTTAAAGCCGGAAAGTCTTTTCTAAATCGAGAGCCGCTATGAACTTAATCCATTGCTTGTAGGTCCTTTGATCGACTTAATAAAATTAGAAAAAATATGAAATTTTTTAATATTTTTCGGAAGATATTTCTTTATAAAAATATTCATAAAAATTGCGATTTTTCGATTTCAGTAAACAAAACAGAATTGCTCAAATGTCAGAAGATCAAAAGGCCAACGTTTCGGAAAATCAAAAGGCCAAAGTGCCAGAAAAGTCAAAACCAGATCTTGTCACGCCAATTCCAAATGCCGATGAATCATCAGAGTTCAACGAAGAAACTCCAAGTAATGATATCACCAAGCTTTCGTTGACATTCAAACCAATCGGAGGTAATTTTACTCCATTTCAAATTTTTAAGACA